AGCATGTTACCAACGGCTGCGATGTCAAACCATCCGTGGCCGTCAATCCTCCCAAGATCACCATTTCCGGCCATTCTGATGAGCTCTATACTCTGGTATTTATATATATATATATTTATATACCTACATATGCACATCAATCCTCTCTGTCTTTTTTCCTCTCATCTAACCTTTGCGTCTTTTTAAAATCGGTGCATGCAGGAGCTTTCTTTCTTCAATTACTTTTCTTTTATTTCTGTGTTTATGTAAAATTATTGTCTCTGTTTCTGTGTTACCGATTGGCTCTGCATGGTTTTGGTTTTTAATGTCGACGGGTGTGGCGGATCGTGCAGGTCATGACCGACCCGGACGCACCCAGCCCGAGTGAGCCTAGTATGAGAGAATGGGTCCATTGGTTAGTGGCTAAATTGTAATTTCATATTTATTATTATTATTTTACTTTTTGCGATTTATTTATTTTTTTTCCATTCATAAAAGAAAGTCCGAGTCTAATTTGTTATTTGTTTGATTTCTTTCAGGGTCGTGGTGGACATTCCTGGAGGCACCAACCCGACTCGAGGTAAAAGTATTTTATTTACACTCTGTTTGGATTGAAATGAAAACGTTACATACACACACACACACACGTATTTATATATGTTAAATGTAAAAGAAATATTATATTAGTTAATTTTCAAGAGGTGGGAAGAAAAATATCTGGTCCCACCTTGTTTTTTCTATTATATCTTCTATCCAAACACAGCCTCAGAGCTGAAATTATTCTCTCACTTTCTATCTTTTGCATGCATGCATGCAGAAAGCTTTAATTAAACATCAAAAAGAAAATCCAGAATTTTTTTCATTTCTTGATATATAATTATTTCCCATCTGCCTATTTTTTTTCAATTTTATTCTTTTTCGATAAAGAAAGAATATATACTCTGATCGAATTATATAATTTTTCTAAATTTCTTGTCCTATATGCATCTGATATTATAATTAATGGAGAAAAGAAATTGAAAATTAAAAAAAAAAAAATGTGCACTGAAATGCATGAATTAAATAATTAAGAAAAAAAAAAAAAAACTCTGCCACTAACTTTGAACATTCATTATTTCGAGAATGTTTTTTTTTTTTTTTTTTTTGGGATTTTTAAAAAAATCCCTGAGGTTACATCACATCCACGATGATGAGTCCTCATTTTCTTTCCCCCAGTATGCCCCACACCCAATCATATCCTGACACCTGTCTTTAGCCGCAAACATTTTCTAAATCGCCAATGCATTGTCTCGCTTTCGTGTCCCTCACACGTGTCACGGCTTGTCTCCCTTCCACGTGTTACGAAAATATCTTTTCTATTTTCTTACTTCTTTTATTTTTTCTTAATTTTTAATTTTTTTCTTTTTTGTCTTTTCTGTCTTTTCTGTCTTTCGTAACGTTGCATTGCATAGTCTGGGTGACACGTGGTTGACTCACAGCCCAGCAAGTAACACTGCCACATCACGACACGTCAAGTGTAGTAGGTGGATTCTCTGGGCCCAGTGAGTCAAAGGTGGCATGTTCCTGAATGGCCCTCCACTTTACAGCCATGTACATGTTATACACCTAGTTATTCCCATGCTAATCACTTTGTGGACCTTCTTTGAAGGTCTTGAATAAGCATCTAAGTGTATATGTGTATGTATATATGTACATATACGTAATATGCAGGGAAAGAGATCCTGCCCTACATGGGTCCACGTCCGCCGGTGGGAATACACCGATACATAATGGTGCTTTTTCAGCAGAAGCGTCCACTGGGGCTGATCGAGCAGCCGCCATCTCGTGCCAACTTCAACACTCGACTGTTCGCCGGGCATTTGGACCTGGGGCTTCCGGTAGCCACCGTTTACTTCAATGCTCAGAAGGAGCCGGCGAGCCGCAGGCGTTGAGGTGGAGAGTAAATAAAAATAGTAATAGTAATATAAAGAGGTGCTAGGTAGCTGATGAGAGTTGTGTGAAGCTAGCTAGCTCTTGTGGTTTGGTTGGTTTGTTGCTGCATTTTAATGGTTTGTGAATGTAAAGTGGTTTTTGTTTTCAGTGTGTTGTTTGTATGCGACGTCGTTTAAACTCTCTCTTCTTTTATTCTGAACGAGAAGGAAAAGAAATACAGTATGTGCGTTGTTGTTTTAGCTAGAAA